GCTTTTCGATGCTTTTTTCCAATCTCTCAGATCACGCCCACTGTGCTGGGCCATTCAACCACATCTGGCAATGCTTGCAGTAGATGGCCCCATCATGCTCAGTAGGTTTGTTTTTGTCCATGTCGGATTGTTGGGCATCCTCTTGGATGCTCTCCGACTTTTGGTCCATCTCGCTTCCTTCAGAGCTGCCCGCTTCTCATTCAAGGCCGAGATGGATCAGCAAGCTTCGAGGGGTGGAACCGATCACCTCACGAGAGCTGGATCCCTCTTCGACCTCCACCATGCACAGGTCGTTCACGTGAAACCAGGCATCCCAGTCAAGACCACCTGCCAGCTCTTTCGATAAGGAATGCTGCTGTAGCGTAGCCGCCTCAAGGACCCTCTCGCAGTGTACCTGCGAAAGTCTTCCCGCAGGTGCTGTGATTCGGAATACCAGCAGGAACCTCTCGGTCTTTCATGATGTCGAAGATCCGCTCACTGTCTTGGTAGTGCTGCAGCATCAACTGCTCGGCCTCGAAGTAATCCGAATCCATGGCAATGGCATCGATCACGGCCAAGAAGACGTCACCCAAAGCCTTCGGCGCTCCTGACTTGAAGAGCTGCTGCCACTTGACGTTTCGCTCCTCCTGATCCTTGGGCTGTGACAGCTTCTGGAACTCCTTGGCGAAGCGATTGATGGCCTCCTCCAGCTCCCTGGAGTCTTTGTTCATGGATTCGTGGAGCTCGGTTCCGAATCAGTATGTAAACAGTGCAGGAAATGGAACTTCAGCTGGAACTTTCCAGCCTACGCCGTGCACTTTGCGCTGCTTGACAGTCTCCTTGCGCGGCAGCCGCATCTTGTCTGCCAGCGGGGGGTCCCGGGACCCTGTCTGCAGGTGCCGATGGAAAACTTGCCTAAAAATGGTGAAGCATGCCGCGCGCGGCCTTCATGCGAAGGGGCCAGTTCTGCTTGGAAGCGTTGGCAATCAGAGACGACAGGCGCCGGTAGAAGCCACCCCCTGCGGCTTGGTGCCAGTTGATGTCCCTTGAGGCTCCCTGGGGCCTGGGGCCTGGGAGCTGCTTCACCTGCCCAAAGTCGATCTGATGCAGCTCCGACAGCAAACTGCTGGCCTGTGGTGCGGCACCTTGGACCCCCGTCTTCCGCGTTGTAGTTGAGCAAGGCCTGTAGGTTCTGCATCAGGGCTGTACCAGCGCGAACAGCATTCATCCCTTTCGACAGCCATATTGCAGAGGCAATACGGTCCGCCCAATCTTCCTCAGCAATCTTGCTCTTGTGCGAGATCTCGTCATCGTCGTGATCGAAGTCTGTCAGAGTCTCCTCCCAGATCTCATCTTCAATTGAGTGTCGGGTTCCGAACTGGTTGTACTTTCTGTGGTAACCGTCCAGCCGTTGTTGATTTTGTCTCACATGGTCGTTGACCTTGTCCCTGTATTCCTCAATTTTGTCCTCAATATTCTCCTTGTAGTCCTTCACCTTGTCCACGCACTCCACAGCCCCGTCATACTTATCTTTAAGCTTTTCTGTCCTCGATTCTGCCTTTTTGAAGTCTTTGACCACAACATCCAGTGGGGTGTCATTGAACTCCAGAGCATGCATGCTTTCGTTCTGAAAGTCTCAGGCATTTGGGTGGAACAGCAGCCAGGGGGGCGTTCTCCCAACAATCGTGCAGTTTGGCATCCACAGCACACAGCATCACCCCTCATGCGGCTGGCCTCCCAGCCCGGGAAAGCCGGACTCGAGGCCTGTGATGCCAGGTCTGTCATGCCAACACGAGTGGAACAAGATGTCGGCAGTTGCCGAAGCAGAGGTGCAATTTTGTGTCCCATTGTCCGTCGCATCATACACTTCGATACACAAGCGCATTGGAACTCGTGTCTCTGCGAACCATCTCACTCCAGCGCCATCGTGGTCCTCCTTCTAATCTCCTTCGCAGCCAGCAGACCACGACCCGATTGCTCGCAGACTTTGCAGCCCTGCAAGCTGCACTGCGCTCGCATTACACGCTGTTCCATTCTGCCTGGACCGCTCTGCGTGATGAAACCACTCTTCCAGCTTCAATCTTGGGTTGTCTCATACATTCCGAAAGCTCGTATGCTTACCGGTGTCCATGCAACTGACGCACAAACACGCCGCCCCGCACGGAGGCCGGGAGGTCCGTGCGGTTGTCTCTCAACATCTCTGTCCCAACCGGGCCGAATCTGCATTGCCAGGTCCGGCGCGCCAAGTGGTCAGATCCTCGTAGAGCTGCTGGAATTGGAGCACAAGAACCTTGGCGGATGCTCGTAGAAGCACGCAGCCCCAAGGTTCTGCTGCTTTCAAGACAGAATCACAAGGCTCAGGCTCACAGAAGATGCCAAGGTGGACTCCTTGAAGTCCAACAAGTTAATCTGGGGAACAAGTCCTTGCAGGAAGATTCTGGAGAAGCACATGGTCAGCTCGAGGGAGCCGTGGACTCAAATTCAAGACGCCCCATGTCCTGAGCCTCACGTAGACATCGCCAGAACCAGCTCAAGGCCGCGATCGCGAATCACGTCCTCCGTTCTTACCACCTGACGCACTGCCGCAGCCCCAACCACTGCCACCGTCACAACCACAACAAACACCTTCTCACACAGCCATCACCACTCGGCAACAGTCGAACAGCGATCGGCATCGTCATCACCCATAATGTGCGGATTCTCCCTATGCTGCATGCCTGCGGAGATTCAATCAGTTCGGAAATCACAGAGGCGGCCTTCTCGAAGCACTTTCCTTGCAAATAGGCCGACAAGGCTGCCTCGTAGACGAGCCTGCATCGAACAGACGGGACTGAAGATGACTGAGCCTGGCGTGTAGGCCGTGTTGTGACCTATGGCACAACAACTGGACAACAGCTAGGCAAACGGCACCAGCAGCCTTCTTGAGGCTTTCGGCTCAATGCACCCTGCTCGAAAAGCACTCAAGTTCCGGCCAAAAAGTGTAACCAACATAGCTGGCATCCGGGTGGCATGTTTGGGCTGTGCCGCGCATCTTCCATCTCCTGCGCCGGCGGCCGCATCATCCCCGAATCTCCATGAGAGGCCCAATTTGGAGCGCTCAGCAGCGGCCTCCAGGAGCTGCAGCGCTGCCGCCCAGGCGCCAGCCGCGGCGGCCGCGGCGACGGCGGCACCGAAGCCGAGTGCATCCGGCAGAAGCCGCTGCCTGGGAGCTCTCTGGGTCTCTTTTCGCAGCGACAGAGGCCCCCCCTTGAGGCCCCCTGCCCTCGCATCGCCGACAGGACTTGCAGCGTCTGCTCCCAGCGGCCGCCTCTGCAGGCTCTCCCACTCGCACAAGCACTGAAAATAAGAGCTGTCGTGTCCGCTGGGTGCTGCTCACAGCTGAACAGCTTTCTGTTTGCAGTGATTCGGGATGCCTACCATGTCGGAACAAGCTCATCAGAAAATCAGAAGCCTTCATCGCCCAGCCTTGACGTTGCAACGACGTCTGAAACCGTAGGCTTGGGACTTTAGCAAACCTTCTCAAAGACGTTGCGTGTGCACCTCGCTCACAGGCCGCGGCGACGGCATTGAAAGCAATGAGGCCGGGGCACCAACCTTGCTATGCCAACAGGCCCAGAAAGGGTCCCAGAGTCTAGGGCTTCTTGAAAGTTCTCAACTTTCTTGTAGGCCATATGGGGCCATGTCTGCATGATGACGGATCCAGCACCCAGCCGCTAGCTCAAAAGAAGCCCAGGATTCCAAACCATGGATGTCGGATGCTATGATGAAGGGCTTCGGGATCCGGGGTTTCTGGGATTACTGTCGCAATCCTCCTGCACTCTTCCAGGGACAACGACTACACAAAATAGCACTGCAGCTTTCAGTTTTATGGAGCTTTATGGGCTCCAAAAACGCATTCGCCCGCCTGGCTCCCACAGCACCTCCAGCGCCAGCTCCCAAGCTCCGACCTGAACCAGCAACGGGATTTGCTGAAGATCTCCTTAAAAGAAGAAGCAAGACTAAGACTTCACAGCCGTATTCTGGGAAGGTTGGTGTGGAGACTGGAGAGGTACAGTCCTGATAACATCACGCGGCCTACAGACTCTCATATAAGCTTGTGCCAGTGCCCAGTCTTTGGTCTCAATCGGGGACGCGAGTATGAAGCGTGAAGCTCCTCGCAAAATGGGGCACGACTATCTGCGAAACGGCACTTCCGCCAAACTGCCTTCTCCGCAGCAGAGCACAGAGCACTCCTGCATCCAAGAGCTCTGTTCTGCATCTTGGGCCACTGCGCTCGGGATCTCTCTCCACTGAGACTTGTAAACAGGTTGCCGAACTGTCCTTGATGATGGATGCACTGTCACATGATGAATCGCATAGCCCTTGGACTGAACCCACCACAGACCCTCAAACCAATGTCATACACAACACGGTTCGTAATGTGAGAAAAAAATTTCTCTTTCAAGAGCACCCGCGGTCCAGGTGACCACGTCCGGAACCAGCCCCTGCCGCCGCATCGAAAGCCTTCAGTGGTGAGGCAAGAGTCGAAGGCAAAAGGCGCCAGCTGCTGCTCTACATGAGAGAAAAATAGTACCTCCAACCGCAGTCAGGGCGAGTCGCAACTGCTCGATGCCCCGCTCCCATGCTCGTCCCTGGCAGCTCAAGGGTTTCGGGGAAGCTCAGAAGTGAATTCATGCCGCAATGCTTGGCTATGCTGCTTGCCAAAGGCTGAAGGAATCCTCTTTGTTTAATAAAGTCCGCATGCCTTCTCGATCGCACTCAGCGCGGTGTTGTAACCTTGCCACCGAGAAGTCACATCGGAACTTCGCGCTGCTCAGTGGGCTTGTCTACTGAACATGCCATGCCATTACCGACTGCTACATCGGCAGCCTGGTTTGATTCGGCATTGAGTATGATGCCGTCGCGGCCGCAAGCTCATGACTTCGAGGGTTTTCAGGGTCGAAGAGTTGCTGAGTGCAGGAACATTCTGACGGACACCCTGCTCGACTTTTTGAAGTAGTATCAAACTATCAAACAAGCTAGTCTACGGCTGGTCGAACGAATGCCAGATCAACGGGTTCAAACAAGATCACGACTTGATGTCTCATGCCGACAGCCGTAAGCCTCAATGTCTGTGCGCGCACACACACACACAGGGCTCCAGAACCATCTAGAGCCCCAGAGACCCCAAGCAAAGCTTGCAACAACTGCAATCCGACAGAGGCGTCAATCAGACACAAATTACTCTCTGCGACACCTCGGAGATGAGAGATTGCTCCAAGTTCAGGTTCCTTTCTTGGGCTCCCCTTGACCGGGAGCCCTGCTGAGACAAGTGGCCTGAACAGTATCCCAAACGAGAGTGCACCAGAGGTGAGCATGCTGACCCAAATTCAGAAGCAAGCTGCTGAAGGCATCGCCACGCACTCGCTGTGGGGTCATCCCTTGGCCGCGGTCTACCACGTGCGAGGCACGATGCAAAGTATCAAAACACAAGCTGGACGGATGAGCTCGTCTGCAGAAGAAAGGGATCTCACACTGGAGGTACAGAAGCTACCCTTCCCTGTTTGCCACTACTCGACCGCAAGTCACAACAAACCTACATCGCTCAGATCTGACGCAAACAAAACATCGAGCGAACACTCACACTGACTAAAGAGCTGCGGCTTCAAGGGCCTTTTTGCTTATCATTCTCCTTCCCTCTGCGCAGCAGAGTCGGACAGATTTCCTGGTCGGCAAGGCCAAGACTCCAGCAAGGAGGGCGATGGCCAGCATCCATTGCTCCTGACACCCACAGTACTTGCAAAACCGCAGATCCCAAACCCTAGGCCTTAAACCGGAACTTAATCCCCTAAACCGAGTAGAGTTCCTGGCCCCAGTCATCCAACCAAAGCGCCCATGTCTCAGCTCCTGCGCCTCTGCCGCCGCAAGGCTCCGATTGAAGCAAATCGCATCCGGGGCTGCCCTCCACGCCCTTGGGCGGAAGGAGCTGCTTCTTTACATTCCCTTTTGAACTCTAGCCTTCCAGCCGGAGCCCCCAAGCTTGCTTTGGACCCGCCTGCCGTTGACCCGTAAGCGTTGGCCGAGGCACCGCCCAGCCATGAGGATGTCCAGCGACAGCTCCCAACCTAGATTCTGGCATCGGCACAAGGCTGCTGATGTTCCCCCAAGTGACTCATCCCAACCGAAGTATGGGCCACAGTACGCACATGCATGGAAATCCGGAATGTGAGAATTGCTTAGAAGACCATTGAACTTGAATTTGGCACTAGCCGCATGATAGGAAGCATAGGTCAGGATATATGTGCGCCTTGCACCATAGATATACGCAGGCAGAGAGAGATTCACAAACAATTTAACCCTGCTTTGTACCCTTTTTTCAGGTTGGGCGTGTTAAGCGTGAAGACATCAGAGTTTGCTGTGTGGAATGTATGGAAGCATGCATGTCTGTATGCATGCATGAATATATGAACGCTTGCATACGGTAGCCCCTTCCCGTGTCTTTTTTGTTGCGTTCGCTGTGTCATGTTTTCCCTCGTGAGGGTCTTCACTTTCTGGGCCTGCATTTTGGACGGTTTAGGGTTTTACGGTTTAGGGTTTCGGGTTTAGCGTTTAGGACACCCCACCCACGCACGCGCACACACAAAAAAAAAAAAACGAACACACGCAAAACAAAGACACTGCGGACACATTTGCCCTTGCATACAGACATCTGTGTATGAATGCACATACTTTCACATCCACATGTATCGTTTACCACACACCCAGACACACACCTGAAACTGTCGAGCACTTACTACACTTCTGAAACTGGCTTCCAAGGGGCGCCCTGCCTGGCCACAGGTACCGATAAGGGCACCGCAGACGCCAGGGTCCGGCTGCCTTAGACAAGATTCTTTGACAGCGATACAATTGTCTTGCAAGACACTGACCGCACGGTGATGGCATGGGAGAGACGAATGATACTGTCAATCCAGCCTTGCACCATGTACTTGCACCATGTACTGCAATTCTCAACCTGGCTTTCTGGAGTGTCAAGCAAAGCAAAACATGCAAAACCTGCTAGCCCTATGAAGGCTGCAGCCAGCATGAAGAGCCCAACCCACCAACCACTCGAGTCCTGGCCACCCCGAATCTCTACAACTCTTGCTCTCTCTAGCCCTGTTCTGAAGCTCCAAGGACTCAAGGATCTTGCAGGAGCGAGACATCTGCGCCGAGCGCATGTCTGCCAGCAGCGCGAGCACATCACGCCAGAGTCCCCGCTCTGTCAGGGCACCTTTGGGGTCTCCAGCTTCTGAGGAAGGCAACTCAAACTACCCCTCGTGGATTTGCTGAGGTCTCGATCTCGTGGTGGCTTGCAATTCCGGGCGGCACGCGGGAGCTTAGCATCAACAAGGGCTGCAGTGCAAAGCCGACCACTCCCGGCCGCAAATCCAAATCCCACGCATCCAACCTTTATCAGCCCTCCGGTCATAAACTGCCACAGTGGCACTCATGGCCGCAGAGAAACCTCGGTTTGCCAGGTCAGCGGGCAAACTCTCCTAACATCTTGGGATGGACGTAGAGGCAGCTCCAGTGTGCGGCCCGGGGACTGATGAGATCTGGTACCGGGCCCTCTCTCTTCGCGTCCTGGCGAAGGTCATGGAGCCAAGAGTTCTGCTTGCACGCCAAAGCTCTGCAGCTTTCGACGCTCATGCTTTCGCTCTAGACGGTCTAGATCCCGAAGGATCCCTCCCTGAGCTTTCTCCGCCTTGCTCATTGCTGATGATGAGTAGAACCCCCCCCCCCCTCCCCGCCCTTTTGGGAGCCCCGCCTCGAGGAGGCCCAGCGCTGCCTCCCAGGCGAAGTTCGCCGCGCAGGCGCTGAGGGCCGCATTCAGCGTGGGCTAAGTGGCAAGAGGCCGGGAAGGGCTAAGTGAAAGGGGCTCCTCGGGATTCTTTGGGTTTGGATAGAAGAAAGTTGCTTTCTTGAAGGCCATTCTTCCTCCGCTGATCTGACATCTAGATTGAAGGCCATTCTTCCTCCGCTGATCTAACATCTAGAACTGTCTGAAGACATGGTCGTCTAGCGGTTCACGGCTGATAAGGGAACTCCCTTCGGCCATGCACGGAAAACTGCAAAAAGCCACCTGGAAGTTGTGCTTTGCTTGTCTCTGCATGGAAACTGACAGCGTTAAAATAAATCAAGGCACGACATCGGGGATCGCATTCCCACGGACGTCGGCAAAGTAAGAAAGCGCTCTCTCCCAATGTCCCTGGGAGCATTGAGCGTGCGCATGCAGTTCGCAGGTTTCTGTTGAACGGGGGCCAAATGCGCGAAAGAAAACCAACGTCCATTCGAAATCGGAATGACGACTCCGGAAGCATAATTATGAGAAAAATATCACCGCAAAAAGGTCCGACACGGTGTAAACAAACAGCCCAATCCAAGTAGACCCTTCCGGAAGCTGAGAAACCATTGTGTTCGAACAGGCGGCACAACTTCCCAGCGTGCTCACCACGGTGTTATGGACCTGGGACCAGGACAAACTCGAGCTCACTTCATTGAGGGTTGAGCCGAACTGAGAGTTTCGGAGTTCTGGATGTTCCACATCTTCCTGCGGAGCCCACGACATGGGCCATGGGACCCCAGGGGGTATGTGCGAGGGCCAAGCCTAATTCTCACCGCCCTCGAGGCTCTACACGCCCAGCTCCCCATCTTCAAGATCTCGGCCACCCTGCGGCTGCCCAATCCGTTCAAGCACGGGGCTCCTTCTAGATCGACCCCATGCTCCTGTAGCTACACGAAGACCCCTCTGAAAAACGGGACCCAGCTCAGCGGCGTGCATGCCCAGCTCCAGCTGCCGCGAGAGCGCCTCGCCATGCTTCTTGAGACTACAACTTGCTACCTGCATTTCGCTCGTCAGCGCTGGCTAACGAATCTGGCATCTGCTTTGTCCAAACAACTGCAAGATCTTGAGAAGCCAAAAGCTGAATGAAGTTTTCATGTGTCTGTCAGATCCGGGCCTCGTCCAGCAAAGCCAGCACCTGCTCCCAGAGTTCCTCACAATCGCGGGAGTCATTGGCTGCTAGCTCGGAGGCCTTCCGGGCCTTCTGATCTGCGAAAGCACCCATGGTCGTCCCAAAGGACACGATGTCGGGGTCGGGGCCGAAGCCTGGGCTGCTTGAGATTTGCGGATGATGGGGCTCAAGATCCGAGATTTGTTTGTCAAAGTATACCATCCCAAGTCACGGGCTTGGGCTTCTTTTAAGCTACGCATGCACCACAAAGCCCACATGTCGTGCGCACCGGACGCCCTGGCAACAAGGCTGCGACTCAGCAGCAGCACCAGACAGCAGCGAAAACAACAACAACAACAATTTGCAATTNNNCGAGCGTACTCTGCACATCGCGGGCAGTTGCCGCTGTTGCACTCTCTAAGCTAGATCTTTCAGACAGTGAAACCGTAATCAAGACAGCATAACGAGTCATAGGAAAAGGGCAAGCACAACTGACAATGAAGCTGCTCAGTTTGAGTACAAAGGTCGGACGCTATGTACA